AAAGCAATTGTTGATTGAGAATTGTTACCTGTGGTCACTTATCGAGTCAATTTTTGCAGAGGTAATAAATTCTTGCTACAACGGTTTCCCCCCTCGCAAAAATAGGGAAAAAGAAGAGACGGTGGTTGGACCATATTTGTCCTCATGTTCTGAAAAATTAAGTGCCGCAATAAAACCATTTGGATTATCGCTAGTAACAACAAATAAGTGTAATTTGAAAGGGTTTAAATCAGCTCTAAAAACGAAAATCCCAAACGAGAAAATGTCCGACGTGGTTTATGAAATCCCATGCAAAGGGTGCCCAGGGGTCTACATTGAGCAGACTTCACAGTATGTACATAAGCGCCTTGACGGACACAAGTTTAATAAGCATGAAAAAACGGCACTTAAGCAGCACGTGAAAGAAACAAACCATCAATTTGATTATGATAACACCAGAGTGCTAAAACAAGAGAAAAATGAGCGGGTCCGTTTAAATTTTGAAGGGTCAAGCATTCTTAAAAATAGCAACGCCCTGAATTCAAGGACGGAATTTTCCCATTTTGAGGATTATTTGGTAGGTACCGATACTTTCTAATTGTTGACCATCAAAGTTTATTAATAGCTGTAACTCGGGCAACAATGTTTGTAATGTTCGTTAGATTGTAACTATCTTTTCCTCTCTCCCCTGACCGTGTTGGATCGGAGGACTAGGTGTTTATTTCTTGTTTTTCCTTGTTTTGTCGCCTCAGTCTCTGCCTGATGATGGTGGGAATAGTAAGCCACCGAAACGTCGCATTGTAAAAAAATTTTTTGTTTAAAATAAATAAAAAGTTACGGTTATACAACTCATGAAGTTCGCTATATATATATATATATATATATATATATATATATATATATATATATATGTGTGTGTGTGTGTGTGTGTGTGTGTGTGTGTGAGAGAGAGAGAGAGAGAGAGGGTGTGTGTGTGTGTGTGAGAGAGGGTGAGGGTGTGTGTGTGTGTGTGTGTGAGACCGATGAAACTGCAGATCCAGGAGGTTTTAAAATCAACAGAGATGATTTTTGGGCAAAGATCGATTGTTGTTTGCAGAAGAGACAGCGCCAGGAGCGAAACGGTACGGGAGATCATGGATACCAAACAGACCATCATTCATGACATTGTAATGAAACAACTTACACTTCAGAAAAAGGCATAACATAGGTTGCCAAAGAATGCTTTAGATCGTATTCTTCTTGGGAGAGGACACAAATGGCGCCCAATGAGAGGGTGGAGGAATGAGATTGAAGTAGAAAGGTAAAGGTGCTCGATGCCTGTAGGGCTATAGTTCGATACTGGACATTGGCGGTCAGGTGTCGTAGAGAGCTAGAAAGCACTATAAAGTGACATGTTTATACATACATATAGAAGGGATCGGGAAGAAGATTCCATCAATTTTCACGTGTGCTCGTTTCGCCGAGCAACAGCTATCTGGACAAAGGGCAGCATACATATAGTTTAGATCATTGCTACCTGCTTGACGCGCTTAGAACGAGAAGTTAGAAGAAGAACGTAAAAGTTGAGGTGAATCCAGCTTTTTGTTCCCACTGCTTTGATGTATTGGTTTAATTTGGACTGTCTTGAAGAAATCAAATCAAAAGAAAGTTTATATTTGTATCATAGATGTTTCCTTCATAGCTGGTAAGGCTCCATGGGTATTCGAACACACTTGAATATTTCGCAGTTCTATCTAAGGATCTTTACGCCTCTTTCCCCTCATTTCACTCAGCCTGTCTACGCATATCCCAGACTCCCCCACCATACCTACTGCCAAATGACACGCACTGTTGTTATTAGGCTTTATCCACACGAGCGCGGTTCGAGGAACTAATTCGACGAACTGCTCAGTTTCCCGAAACCGTTCCTTGAAACGAGAGATGCTGTTCACACCAGTTTCGCTCGAACTGAAACCGAAATTCCGTGTTTTTGATGGCGGGAATTCGGAAGACTATGCAAGTGCGCCATTTTTCTTTATATAAAATTACAATTTCAATAAAACTATACAATTATTGCAAAATAATAGATTACTTATACATATAATTAAATTATATTATATATATAAATACTATTAATACGGGAGTATAATAAAAACATATATAAAGACATCAGGGATGTAAACAACAAAAACGAACGAATTCACAGCAAGAGAAACATAGGAGCTTGGAGTTCGGGGGAACTTCCAGGGTTTGGAGGAATAAGTTTTAGCCCAGCTATAATGTGTCCCGGGAGCAAGTTCGCCGAACTATGTTCAGCGAACCTCGCTCGTATGGACAGGGCCTAAGGAGCGACTGCGCAGTGGTAATGTGCTGCCAAGGACCAGTTTCATAGGACCGTGGACTCTCGTAAGAACCCATGTAAAAATCCGTGAGCAGTCACTGGTGCTGCGATCTCGCGTAGGATCCTCGCAACTTACTGCTATTATCGGTTGTTGGACTTCACAAAAATCTGTAGAATCACATATATTTGCTAAAAGTCAAATTTTTCACCTCTATTCAAGGTACGGCCAGAATCTGGTCGTCTGAAGGGGTCGGAAAACGCCAAAAAAATACCCAATTTTCAAGAATTTAGCCTCCTAATGTGTTATTTTTCAATCATCGGCTTAACCTCACTTTTGGAGCGGGCGATGGATGAGTCGAGGTTCAGGGGAAGGATCCTCTGAGTTTACAAGGGTCCCACGCGAAAGTGCCCCGAACGCAGCGCTCACTACAGTACGGCATCCTATAGAACTTGTCTTTGGTGCTGCGTTGTCACCGAGAAGTGTACCTATAGATCGTGCTCTACCAAAGCCTTTGGAATGGTTTTGTTCTCGCTTATGTTCCTTTTGATTTTTTATTCTTCATTCTCATTACAAATGATATCATATTTAATCGGTTATTCATATTTTAAAAACGTCAAAAAACATAAAGCAAATAATGTAAACAATTGAAGAAATATTAAATACATAAATAAACAAAAAGTGGCTATGGATGGCTCCGCACCTCTCTTGGTGTAATCTGTTCTAATTGAGCAGGAACGGACGTTTTTGAAAAACCAGCTTATCCTCGTCAATTTCAGATCGTCAAATAATATTATAAACTCCATTCACCAAAAAAGAGAAAAACTCTTGGTCCTGCGTGAGGGGACATCACAGAGAGGATGTAGAAAGAGCGGCGAAGTGAGATATTTGGCCGCGCAGTCACTTTCGTCAATCTCCATGATAAAGGAGCGGAGCTCGTAGGCGTATGGTCGTTGGTAGTCGCGCTCTTGCGCGGTCCACAGAGGAGCAATTAATTTATTTTTTTATTTTCCTGAACTAGACCAGTCCGACCTTAACATGTATCAGTCATTTCCTGCCTGCCGGATAAAATCCTCGCTGGACTGAACAGTGCTAATGTTCTCTCTGACATTCACTGAATTTTCATTTTACTTCCCTATGAGCCAAAATATATGATTTTTAATACCTATCAAGATATTATGAATACCTATTCTGTAATACTTATTTAATACCTGTATTAAAAAGCTGAAAATAGGTATAATATATCATATAAAGTGTATATTGTCTTAGCAAATCATCAACTTGTGGTTTCTGAAAAAAGACAGCAGGGATATGTAGTGGCGAATACAGAAACGACACGCAGGTATTAGGTACATACGTGTGGAAGAAACTTTGTTCGGAGCGCAGGGAAAATTTGGAGAACTAATTAGGTCACGAAAAAGATTTATTGAGTGCTACATATTGGAATTGAATGGAATTGACCTGATTCGTGGCCATCATATTCACCTCACCAGAGTTGCAGTATTGGGAGCTTCTGATTGGTTGAAAACCAGTAAGGAACTGCAAACCTAAACTCAGCTGTCAGGTTTTACATTTGTGTGGAGCAAATATTTGCTACGTCCAACATGTATTAGATACCTCATTCAGCTACAAATATTTAATACTGTCTAAAATATAAATTCAACATGTATTAAATATGGCATCCATACGATTCGTCTTGATACTGATATTTCGGCTACCAGGGTTCTTTTCTAAATCCTAAAATTCGTTTTTCTCAATCCCTTCCGCTTCTCTTCTTCTCCCATAATCCTGTCTTCTTGAATCTTTTCCACGCTTATGAAGTTTCGCCCCCTCTCTCCCTTAAAATTTAATTTTACGATTTTTTCTAAATGCTGTCTTTTTCCTAAATCCCTTCCATCTCTACCTCTCCTAAAATTTAAAAAAAAAAAATTAAAATTAAAAAATCATTACAGCGACTAATCAATTTGATGACGCCTTTTAATTAAAGCTTATGAAGCGAGCCTCAAAGTCACCTGTGTAGTTGCTACCGGACATGCAGGGAGAACCATGGAATCCCCTGCCTAGTATACTTAAAAATATATTTAGGAATGTAATGTGATGTGTTCAATAATGAAAGCTTCCTCCTGTCATGAGCTTCTAAAACACTGCAATTTTGTCTTGAGAGTCATCAAAGTATATTGATCGAATATCCAATGACTAAAAAAAACGGCTCACTTCTTTACCTGAATGTAGTTAGCTTGGCGACTGACCAGGGGTCCAGGGGGAGCAGCCCCTTTACTAGCGGTTCTGGACGCGCTTAAGTGCGCCCACAACAGCCAGTATCAAAAGATAATATCATAAAATTTTGAAGTAGCCAAGTAGAAGGACAAAATCAGAAACCGCAAAGAATTCCTCTGTTATGTGAATCCTGCTTTTGATTAAAATAACTTTTGCTGTACGTTTGTCTTTATTCAGATACTTCTGAATTTGATCGCATATCTATTAGGATAGGATCGGATTATTTGAAGACAGTCGAGAACAACTTTGAACATGCTACATGCTATTTTGAGACGAGTTCTCAATGTTTAAGTACAGATCAAAGAAGAAGTATCCATCCACCTATAAGACTCAATTTTCTGTTCAAAGAAAAGAAACAACAATGGAAGAAAATATGTGGACGAATACTTTAAGTTCTTGATATTCATTCCTTCCTATCCTTTGCAGTTATCGCATATGTTGAAATGTTTGGTAATGTCTCCTGCTCTACAACACTCACCAGTGATTTTTCTCGGCGCACGGAAATGTCGATGTCATCAACGCACTTATGTTCCTTTTCTCATCGATCCAGTCCAAAGTTAGTAGCTTCACTGCCTCTTTGATCTAAGTATCCACTTCACGAGTATCCATTTGCTCACTACATTATTTATACACTGATACCCCACTAGAGTTCAAATTTTTGAATGCAATAATAATTCTTGGATTTTTTATCCTAGACTTCCGGGCAAAATAGTATAGATACAGCTTTATTCTACCATCCTGTTACCTACATACCTAATTGACAGATACTTCGGTCCAAAGGTAACTTCTCTGAAAATGGTGTGAACTTATTCTAGGTCGCTAAAATTTGGTTTATTCTGTTTTGTAATATTGTTTTAAAAGAACCTGAATTGATACACCTGCAGCCTGATTGTTGATATTTTGTGTTTGTTGAGGAGACATAGCTGACGTAGGTTAAAAGGCGGAGCATGACTGGTCAGCTAAGTCTTCTCGCTGCTTTATCGTGCCTTTGTCAGGTGGAATGGACGACATACTGTCCCAAACTTAAGAGGTGCCCTTAGCTTGTCGTGAGTTCCATCCGACATAGGCACGATAAAGCAGCCATAAGACATAGTCGACCAATCTTGCTCCGCCTTTTAACCTGTGTCATGTATGTCTACCCGACAAGTACAAAATTTCAACAACCTGGCTGCTGGAATTATTATATTTAGTTTTATGTTTTAGCTCTTTAAAAGTTAAATATGCAAGAGAGATATTCTGTTTGCGCACCATGAAAACAATCTGAGTTTGAGGAAGATGACTGAGGTCCTTCCTGCTACCATAAATCTACCTCACCTAGCATAAAATCAAGCCAGAGTCAGCCGAGGCCTTCTTTTTTTGATATTCCTCATCATTAGACTAGAGCTGTTAGATAAAAGGGCGTTCAGCGTTACTTTAGAGCAATTTCACAGGAGACAAGACTGATGGCTCTAGCATATGTTCTTTTTTCCTCCTGAAGTCACATCACATTTTTAATATCTGCCATTAAAAGCTCTTCGCCTGTTTCTGAGTTTGCAAAGGTGAACGCACAATCCAAATGTTGCCAAGAAAATCGAAAGTAATATACAACAAAGTGATTGTTGAAACTCTGTATGTGCTGAATATGTGATTGTCAATTTTTTAATGTTGCAATTATCCTGATTTCTTTTGTTTCTAGCGAAGGGCAAATCAAGCAGTTAATCGAAAAACCCCCTGCTTTACCCCCTAAACGAACTCATCATAATATGGTCGGCAATCAGGTTTCGCTATCTCCTTCCCTGCAGCTGACCCAAGAACTTCCTGTTTCATTTTCTAGTCTCAAGTAAGCGTTCAATCAATTGCAGTTTTACAATTTGCCTGGTATAGTCTAAGAACCAGCTGCACTGTTGACGCCACTACTATGACTAGCTCCTAACTTTACTAAAACAGTTCTGACCTCCCCCGTACCAAATTAAGGAATGTTCGACCTCACATGTGGTGCCTCTGGCCGCTGTTTCCTGCGAAAATCTGAAAAAAGCGATTCTTTAAAACGCCCTGTAGAGCCACTTTAAGGTCATCTAAAAGAAAAGCATACTTGCATAGCAAATTTTCCCCACTAAATCAGTTAGTTTAAGATGCTAGTTGTGCCCAGACAAGCAAATCCGATTTCATGTGGTTGTTCCTTGAGGCAGGAGTGCACATTCTTCACACATTTCACTTTGCCTTCCACATTTTCCCGCGAAAAATTTTACCCCTTCCACAAACAAATAGAAGACATACTTCCACAATTCCACGACCCCTTCCACAGAAAGGGATGACCTAATTTTTTTAAATCAGTTGTCTCTCACATATGTAACGCATTTTTTCCACATTTTTTACCTCCCCTCCCCCCTCGAAATACTTTTATAATGTCGGTCCTAATCCTTCAACACACAAAAACAAATTTGCGTAACTACCCCCATAGCTGTAGACAAGAAACTAATTAGCAAAAATAAAAGACTCATTCGGAAATTAGCACAACCGGAAAGTTGTGAAAAACCCGGCATCCCTTGAGGAAAAAATTTTACAGAGCCCTCCACAATTTTTCGGTCAAAAATTATTCCAGAAAGCTTTCCGCAATTGTCTGTGAGAAATTAGAGAGGTCCTTCCTCAATGGACCGTGAAAAACTCTTAGGCAGCCTTTGTGGCACACCCTGAAAGGCTTGCTTCTCCTTTTATCCACACTTCGTGGAAAATTGTGGAAACCCCTCCGAAATATTTTTGTGCAAATTGTGGAAACCTCTCCTAGGATTTCCGCAAAAATTGCGGCAATCCTTCCACAATACTTTGGTAAAAAAATGTGAAAATTCTTCTTCAGTAATTTGGTGAAAATTGTGGAAACTAATCCTGTATATTTTTATGAATATTGTGGAAACCCTTCCACAATGTTAAAAGGAAAATGGAGATTTGAAGTGAGGAGAGAGAGAAAAAAAGCTTCCACAAAATCTAGGAGGCTTCCTTATTTTGACGCTAAAATTTTTCGGTTGATCACGCTTCCATAAAATCATCAAGCGCTTCCTCAATTTCACTCAATTTTTTCTCGTGATCAAGAATAATGTGCACCCCTGCCTTAAGTTTTGGAAGTGGCTCTCCTGTGTTGTGAATTCACAAGGAGAGGCCATTTTTAGGCCCTCATAATGTATTTTACCTTGTTCCACGACCTTAATGTTGTAGGAACCTATGCTATGGATACATTTAAAGCTACTTTTACCCCGGCAGGTGAATTCAGCTCATGCGGCTGATCAGCAAAACTTGAAAGTGGCTCTCCAGAGCCGTAAACTACTGTCCCAAGTGGCTCCGTGAAAGGAATTTTATTTTAATTCTCTTCTTTTATCGTGCATTACCAAAGAGTATGATACATTTTAAGCTATTTTTACCTCTGTAGATGAATTCACATTCATGCTGCTCATCCACAGAATTCGGAAAAGGCTCTCCAAAGTGATAAAATGTGAAAATACGAGCCTGACCAACTCCTGTAGAGCACAGTAAAAATATTTTCACGCTGTTCAGGTACACTAATCGTGTAAAAACACAGAATATGGACACAATTGAGGTAATTTCAAGAGACGAATTTGAATTCATGCAGCCCATCAGCGGGCCGTCAAGCTGAGTGCATGGTGCAATGAAGCTACTCTGAGAGGCTGATCCAGAGCCTCGAGCATAAGAATTTTAATGAAGTTCTAATGGTCACATTCGAGAGCTAACAATTAGCTATTAACTCAAGCTCATTGCACCTTCACAGATTTATGAAAATGTTATGCAGCTGATTGGCAGGACTCAAAAATGGCTCTTTAAGGCTATGAACTATAAAAATTGACAGTGTCTTGAACGGTCCCTCCAGGACTTGATCGGTGTCCCAACGCGATTTTATAGAGCAGGATTCTCAGTTGTGCGGACCGCCCATTAGCTACATAAACTCCAATTGAGGGGTTCGGAGGACAAGGCACCTAAATGCAGTCTTTGCCATTTAGAGAAGTATGTGTTTGAAGTTTCAAAATTACACGTATCCTTATGGTGGTAAGAAAGTTGGAGGTATTTCTATCAAACGGAACTAAGCGCCATCGGGGTAAGAAGGGAAAGGGGGGCTTGGATTGGCGGGTGTTGCAGAACGCGATGCTCGTTCTGTCTTGTAATCACAATGCTTTTCCATGGCGCTCAGTTCCGTTTGACAGAACACGCTTTTCGAGATTCTTAAATCCTCTAAAGGAACTCAATTTGATGCTTAGTTCCGTTTAACAGAAATACGTTCAGTTGTAACTGAGAACTGGTAGAATGAGTCTGCCAAGGTAAAACTAGTCTCACACATATTCATACTATATGTTTTTACAAGGTAAAGGTTGTGAATCAACGTAAAAACACATTTGAAGAACCTAAAAGTAGCCTCGCCGCGTAATCCTAACATATGAGAGTCACTTCCAAGCCTCAAGGAACAACCGCATGAACTCGGATTTGTCTGTATGGGCACAACCAGCATCTTACGTATCTAAACTAGCTGCCTTATTGGGGAAAATTTGCCAGGCAAGTGTTACAGTTCTTTTCGATGACCTCAAAGTAGCTCTTCGGTGTTTTAAAAAAACACTGTTTTCAATTTTTTGCAGAGCGCAGTGGCTAGAGGCACTACTTTTGAAGTTGGACATCTCTCAATCTGATACGAGGGATGTCAGACATGTGTTCTAGCAAATTTTGAAGCGTGTCGGAGTAGTGACGCCAAAAGTGCAATTGGCTCTTAGACTATTAATTAGTGTGTCAGATCGTTTTTCTTGATTTTTTCTCATTTTTTCTGTTAGTCCAAGCAAACAAGCCAAAAAAAGGGCCTAATCTCGGAAAAATAAGTACAAACTTCTCTTATGTTTTAAAGCACTCCAAAACATGTCTAGAGTCCCCAATAAAAGTTTACCATTGGTCCCCCTCAGGAACACAGTCAAAATTGCTTACAACAAAATGGCGGCCATCTGAAACTACGTATAAATTGATTGTTGACTTTGTCAGCGTTTTCCCGATTTTGCGTGATTCTTGTGCATTCAGTGAAAAAAAATCATTATAATCAATTTTCCAGAGTATAAAGTGAGCTTGTTCAGTAATTCGTAATTCTTGCATTTTTGGAAACTAGAGAGTGCACATAGTTCACAGGAATTTTTCCCGATTTTTTTAAGCAATATTAACCCACGAAATATGAGTCCAAAAGCCCGTATTTTGGGCTCCCATTTAAACGCGCGCCGCTTGGGCCATCTCAAAATGGCGCCCATTCTATCCGTCCGGCGATGGCCACACTTTAGACCTAGCGTGCCGGCGAGGTACTTCTGCATGCCTCTGCCGCGTGTGGGTCGTAAACAAACGAAGATTGATAACACCAAGGATCCAAACAACTCGAAATCTCTTTATTTTAATTAATTTAAATCCATTTTCGACTTCAACCAAGCATTTGGCAATAATATTCTCCATATTTTACAACCTAGACCCACAGCCTATCGGCTCATTTTAAGGTGCATTCTGAAAATCAGTTTTACAAGTCCAATGTCCAAACCTAGACTTTCCTCTTTTACTTTTTTTGGACCATTCTCTTTTCATTTTCGCCTCAAATTAAATGTTTTGCAGTTTCTTTGTCTTAAGTATGTAGTCCTGAATTCATTCAAGAGTTAGAAGTTCACCATTTATTTAGTATTATAGCCTTTTGACCTCTCAAGCTTCACCGATATGATCTCATGTGGTTCGAGGTTTCTTTGGCCCAAACCAAGTGATTACACATCTGATGTGTGTCTTATGGCTCTTCAAATTCGCAGTTTAGAACTAAATCAGAGACTACAGTTACTTAAGCCAGTTCTGCTCTCTTGTTCAATGTTTGTCATAAGTGTTTGTTCGTGTCTGTTCTTTGTAAATGACCACCGTAGTGCGTATACACAGTTATGCTGTCGGTACAGGTATTATTTCTTGTTTTCTACAGTCAGGACTTTCTCTTAAGCGCAATAATTTACCAAAGAAATTCACCGAGTTGCGTAAATAATTTGGTGTATAGATATTCTGTTAATATCTCCTTGCGGTGATGCAAAGTTTCTGAGATCTGTCGTAAGTGGGTTTTGCATTTAGACGGTCACTCTTGTCTGATAAAATCACTGCTCTAGCAGCTTCAAATTTATACTTTGATCTCTGATTCATCATTAAATGACACTTGTGCGGTGTCATTTATCTTTAATCAGTTCAAAGCTATTTCGACAATGAATCATCAAAGGTCTGATCGAA